TTCGAATGCGGAAAATATATGTATTTACAGCTTAATAGCGAGTCCTAAAAAGGTTATCGCAATTAATTTTTTTAATAATATAATTTAATTTATTATATACAAAAAAAAGATAAATTATTTTTCTTTAGATTTATGTTTCACAAAAGTGATTATTGTGTGTTTTTGCCAAACTCTATGAAATGTTTTTAAATCCAAGGACCAATCGCGCGTTTCTTTGGCGACTGTGCGAATTTTTAATAAAAAATACGACAGGGAACGGAGAGCTGATGGATATTTCTCGCGGTCAAAGGTCGCCGCGTATGCGTGCATCTGCGCTGCGCGCGGCTTACGTGTTGTACGCGAAAACGGTGAACGGTAAAAATCGTATCCATATAACCGAGAGGGTGGAAGGCGCCCCTCCCCCCTCTCCCCGGTATTGGTTATATTTAAATGGGTTTAATGCCCCGACCGTACCCTCGATCGCTTGCCGACCGACCCCCGCGGAGAGCCGTCCTTTCCCTCTTTTCTTCTCTTTTTCCACTCCTCATCCCCCTACCCCCGTAGAGCACTCGCCCTTCCGCCGCCTCAATCCGCGTCGCCTCGCAAACGACGCAAGCCCCGCGTTTCGAAGGTTAAAACACGCTGTCGATAAAAAGCAAGTGTGCCAAGTGAGACAAGGAGCGCGCGAGCGCCGGATGAGTGCGAGAAAGGGTGCGACGAAGAGGGATGGGGGTGGGGGGGGGGGAACAGAGATGGGATGCAGAGGCAGAGAAGGAAAGAGGAGCTCTCGAGAGCCGGTGTCGTTTCTATTCTTCTTTCTTCTTCCTCTCTTCCCTACCTCATCTTCTTCACCCTTCCGTCCGGTTTCACTCTCGACAATTAGGTATATTTCGATCCACCCTCGACACATTGTTTTCGCGGCATCTCGAGTGAGCTTTTCGTTCGAGATTCCTTTCGCGTGGCGACGAGACGGCTTATCTGCCTCCAGTGCCTTTCTCCATCCCTTCGCGAACGCGATGTTACAAAACTAGCCGCGAATACGATCGCGAATTCCACTCGTTTCATATGTGCCTTTTCAGATTATCAGAATAAATTGAACGGATCAGTAAAACTGAGAGAAATAATAAAGTATGGGCACGATAAAAAATATGATTGAATTTCTAACAATGAAAAATTAATATAAAGGAAATTATGAAGGAAAAGTTTCCCGCACATTTCTAGCTGGAATTAAACCGTAGATATTTATCTTTATCTTAATCGAAATTTTATGGAATTTGAGTAATATAAAACGACTTTGTGCAGCTATACAGAGACTTTTAGAAGATGAGTTATGAAAAATGTTACATCTCACATTTAATTAATTTTTATATCGCACTCGTAACAATTAGTCACACGCGCCCGTTAAACTTGCAAAGAGAAACTGAATCTATTATTCGCCTCTTATCTTAACGATTTTTAAATGTTAATTTCAAATCCTATTGTTTCTCGAGACGATGATGTTGCGATATAAGCGTGCATGCAAAGTGTTGAAAAGTGACAATTAGCCGTCGTATCGTTTATGGCGCGATTCTTCCTCGTGTTGCGGACGACCGATTTAACGAATGCGCGGAAGTGAAACTCGATTCAACTCTTACGATATAATGCATACGAATTGTAACTCGCAATGTGATTCGTGCGTGCGTGCATGCGCGCGTGTGTGTGTGAGCGCGCGAGCGCATCTCCATAAATCGCTTTTTATGGCATCTACAAAGTGACATAAAAATTTTTCGCTCGGCGTGCGAGCGTGTTTACCGAACGCGGCCATCTTTCGCACGTCCGTCGATTAAATAAACATGATCGCAGGCATCACCATCGAGAGGAGATTCGCGCGGGATCGTGGCTAAAACTCGCCGCTCATCTCGAGAGCAAAGGATTGAAATGGAAAAAAACGCGCTCGCGTTGGGAGCGATGCTTGTCGACGCAACGAAAGGGATAGAATGAAAAGGGGATGGAAGGGAGAGGGAGAGGAGAGCCGGAGGGAGAGAGGGGGGGGAGAAGGGAGGGATGGAAGCCCGAACCAAATCGGCGGAGCGATCTGCCGCTAATCCGGGCTCGGCAAAACGGTATCGCATTTTTGCGCCGTTTTGCGGCTCTCGCAAAAGGGCGGAAAAAAATCGGTGCTCGCGGGAAAAAATCGGGCTACGGTCGCAGGCAGGGCGGAAAAATCGAGCAGGAGGGCGGGCGGACGGGCGCGGGTGGAAAGCCGCGATCGGACGGTGACAAAAATTGTATGTAGCGCCGGGGCGACAATAATTGAAACGGCGCGTAACACCGTCCGAATCCTCGAAACCCATTTTATATTTTAATCGCACCCCGATAGGCTCGTCGCGCGAGCCGCTCCCCCGTGTTTCGCGATACTCCTGTACCGGCGTCCCTCCCTGCCCTCTCCTTTTTTTTTCACCCCGCCACTTCGCCGATTCCGGTTCGCGATTTTCGCGATCGCATCTACGTGCGAGTAGATAACGCGGGTGACGTCCGACCGATGATCGAGAACCATCGTGCCGGGAAAGGGATTACGTCGACATTTGTTCGTGTTAAGAGGGTGGGGGGAAAAAAAAAGAGAGGAGATTAGACGCGACATTTCGCCGGTTGATGCGATTCTATGCGATTCGACGCGATTTAAATCTGTAGTGATCTTTTATTTTATTTTTTTTTTTTTTGTTTTGTTATTGATTCTCCTCACTTTATTTTATTGCCGATGATATTGTTCATTCTTATATCGCGAAATGTTTGTCATTTTAGTTATATAATGATGAAGTCAAGACAAACGATGACCTGTTTTAATCGAACTGTGATTTTCCATAGTTTATTGAAAAAAGAAACTATTAATGTATATGTATAAAGCAAAAAGTCGAATATTACATATTAATGCGATTTATAAATGCAAAAATAGTGCCTTTTCACAGGAAGCGCCTTGGTTATTGTTTGACACAACTATACGAAATAAATAATTGTGAAAAATAAGTTTTTTCGTATGCGACTACATTATGATATTTTCAGAGCGTTAATATTAATAAAGTAATATTTGGACATTTGAAAATTTAGGGAAAAATGGAATTATGAGATGCTTTTATTAAGGCAACGATATATATTATAATAATGCATTCGCATTTATCGCGCGAGCAAAAGCATCGAAAAATATGTTCGAAAGTGATATTTTGCCTGTTTATATTAAGATTTATATGACATACATTTCTAGATGCGCAAGATTATTTTTTGCAGATCGTATGATAAATTGATGTTAAAAGAATTGCAAAGTACAAGCTTACGAGCACATATAGAAAACTGTTATAAAATAAAATAATTTATATATTCCAGACACACAAGTTATGAGTCTATGAATATAGCAAAAATTGTATATAAATGTATATTTTTGCAAGAGTTTCTGCGAGCGGTTTTTAAATCTCGTATTAGAAAACGGCAAAATTCATAGCTACCAGACGGAACATGGGACCACTTCTAGTGAACACGTTTCTCACAATTTTAAATTTTATCGATTCACGAATATACAGAAATGTTATCCTTTTTTCGCAATTTACATATGTATTTATACATGTTAGATCGTATCAATTTTTTTTATAATTTTTTTACATTTTTTAATCTGTCTTTAAAAAATTATGTACTAGCAATATATATTAGCAGTATAATATATTAATTGGTAGTTTTTGTTTTTTTTTCTATTTAAAAGATTAGCCCGTTATTTTTTTAAATTGAAGCCATGAAGTTGAAAGAAACAAACATTTCCGGTGTGTTCTTCTTTTTGAATTTAAAATGAGTCTTCAAAGTAACAGAGATTGCTCAAAACATTTTAATCATATATGAAATAAATCTTTATCTAACAAATAATTCACTTAAGTTCAAAAAAAGGAATATGCTAAAAATATCTATTTTTCTCAACTTGATATTCCATCATTTCAGTCCTAAAAAAAGTTTTACGATTAATTCAGAAAACAGAAACATAATTTTGATAGGATAAAATAGGAACTCCAAGTTGACATACGACACATTCGATAAAATCATTAAAAAAATTGAACCCGCTTATGAGAGAAATGTGTGTACGTGTATACATATGTGTTCATGTGTATGCACTAGTATGTATGTAATATATATGTATATAAATATATATATATATATACATACATACATACATACTATAATATCCACACATGCGATTAGATTATTCAGGAGTTTTAATAGCCGCACTTAACGATTTATCGTCGTATCAATCTGCGGTAACGAGCGGCCCGCTCTTGCGCGGCCGACAATAAATATTTACGCGTTTCCACGTTCCATTATCTTTTATTATTTCAGTATGAAATTATCCCCGATACTTTGTTGCGGGGCGCGCCGCCGTGCCTATCGTTTAATCGCATATTTAACGCGTGTCGGCCAAACTGCTGACACTATAATGTTGTCGGCGCAACGCGTCGATCCGCCCGTCGTCCCCTCCCCCTCCCCCCCCGTCCCTCCTCCCCTTCCCCCCTTTCGCCTGCCCCCGGCTCCCCCCTCATCTCAACTGGTTAACCGTTTAATCAACAAATTCCTCGCACTTTCTGTTGCAGGTGAGTAACACACGACTTTACACGACGTTGCAGCCGACAATCGACGACACCTCATGCGAGCGCGATCAGCCGACGATTATTCGCATAATCGCCGAAGGCGATCACGCCCGGCTGTGGAAAAACTTTTCCGTAAGTCCGACTGACTCGAATTAATGCTCATTACCGACACGCGAGGCACGTCGCGGTCGCAACGGTACTCGTGCGATACGATCGAATCGAATGACGGATGAAAGCGACGTTTTATATATATTTACACATAGAGCTCGCTAAGAAGAAAATCGTTAGTTGTAATGGGGAGATTTTTCTCAGTGCCCGCGAACAAAACTTTTCCAACGCGACTTATTTATACAAATATACAATTTATTTTGTAACCTTTTTTTTTTTTTACGGTTTTGAATTTGTCATAAATTTAAGTATATGAAATTTTAATGAGTATAATTGAAAATGAGAAACACATACGCTTTTTACGAAATTTTTGAAGGAAATTATCAATTCTTTCGCTCGACCGCGGCGCTAGTGAATTTATGTATTTTTAATTGTATATATTCTAGTACGCAGGTTTCTAATTAAAACTTTTAGATTTTTATATTCAACGAAATGTCATATTGTTTTTGTATCGTGACATAAAGACAAGCTCCGCCTCAGAAGGATTTTCAGAATAAAATGCTAAATAAGCTTTCTTAGAATTAACATAATGTTAAATACATATTATAAAACTGCTAATGAAAAACGTCATATAACTCAAACTCCCGAGCCATATACCAGAAGAGCGAATGTCAAAGATCGGAGCCCACGTGTCTCGCGGAGGACAATTACGCCCATCCGATTGCTCTCGGCGAGCGACTTTAACGACGAGAGACAACAAAGGTGACGAAGCCGTGGGGGGGAGAGAGAGAGAGAGAGAGAGAGAGAGAGAGAGAGAGGTAGAATAGTAAGTAGTACTTCGTCGGATAATTAATTACTTATAAGTTACGTAACGTCGCGGGGAGGAGAGGAGGAGGAGGGAGGGAGGACGGACGGCGCGCCGCGCGTCGTCGTAGTTATTATTATTATCAACGCCCTCCCTCCCTCTCGTCGTCTTTCGTTTCGCGCGCCGCCGCGCGCGCGCGCGCGCGCGCGCGCGACCGAGCGAGCGAGCGAGCGAGCGAGCAAGTGAGCGCGTCCGGGTATGAATAAACATTAAATTCCTCGTTACTCCTTTTAATAACTTTTTATACTTCATATTTTATTAATGCCAAGACATTCCGATCGGGCCCGCTACGGTCGCGGTGCGGCGAGTTGCGCAACGTGATTTGCGTTTCAATAACGTCTCTACGTACGCGCTAGCTTTTCTTGCTCCTTTTGTTTCCTCGTCTCTCTTTTTCTCTCCGTCTCTTCCTCTCCCGTTCACCGGATCTCCCGTTCCATTTCTCGATCTCCGTTGCTTCCCTTGTGCTCTCTCCTCGTTTTTTCCTTCCTCCCTCCCTCCCTCCCTCTATGCTTCCTCTCTCTCGCGAGGCGACCACCGTCGCGGCTCGACATCGCGAGAACGCAGAAAGGAAATCTGCGTGTCTCCTCGGCGCGCGCGATGCAGTAAAACTTTTATGTATTTATTATCGGACGATAACAAATGACGTCCCACTGGAGTTATGTCACTCTCGCGATGGAGTTCCGCGGTCTCGTCAAGAAAAGCTACGAATGTCTTTCTCCGGTCTTTAATTGAGTTAAACTTTTATAATCTTAAACTCACACGTGCCCCTTTTCCCTCTCTCTTTCTTTCCTCATCTCTTATATTTCCGTAGAAATAATAGTACCGCAAAATGCTGCTGTTAAATTATATTATTGGATTATAAAATGTCCTAACTTTTTCTCGATTTTAAACAAATTTAATCAAATTCAATAATATTACGAGTTTCGTCGCAAAGACGTATTTAACGAAAATCAATTCTAACCTTATTTCTACTTTTGCAAAGGACGAAAATTCCACATACGTTGATGAACATATCTTTAAAGGTTCGACGATTACGTGGTAATCAGTTTGTCACCTTAAAGAGGTTTTAAGTAAGCGCGAAAGACGAGGATTAAGAAGCGAGCCGAACTGCCGCATCGTCGCTTTGTAAAGCGACGAATGCTTATTTCGGGGTTAAAACGCGCCCCTAAATGAGGAGAGATGCCTGACTACCGGTGGTATCTGGTCAACCACGGTGGGACGCCCAACCCTCACACAGTCTCTCTCTCTCTCTCTCTCTCTCTCTCTCTCTCTCTCTCTCTCTCTCTCTCGTCGTCGTCGT